AAAGGTTTCTCTTAGAAGCTTGCATAGGCCAAAAATCCGTAGTAGAGGGTTCCTTATATAGTTGTCGCTGCTAGGGTTTTCAGGTGGAAACCCTAGTGCCTTACTTAGGCAACAAGCAACCCATGAACTCCTTAGATCCCATGGACGAAGTATTATGGGCTTCCCTAAAATTTCGTCCACTCCACTCTATGGAGTCCATCAACCTAATTGTGCAGCTACCAATGATTTGCATAATAGTCCCCTAATTATTCAATCAGTCTCTTTTGATCATCAAATTAATTTCTAATCAATACTAATTAAATAATATGATTTCCAAATAACATATTAATCGTGTAATATATTAAGAAAAACATTTTGAGTACCAATTTATTATTCACATAATAAAATCTACTCTCTCTCCTCTTGTCATCATATTCAAGTTGCATGTGTGAAGGCAACCCAAAAGGACGATGCTCATAATCAAATCAAGCATATACCAGAAATAGTTATGGGCTTAGACACCTAATCTAATAGTCTCCCACTTGGATAAGTGTAATAACTATTATTGCTAGTACAACTTTAGAATCTGATTAGCAATCATAGCTTTCAAAAGCCACTATCGAACTCTGATCTTATCAGCAACGTATCCTTTAGATAAGGGATCATATATTCCTTCATTCTCACGATATAGGATGAACTGAGACATGGATTATAATCATTCTCTCTGTTCATGTGTTGTTTCCTGATTTCGATTTATGACGATTGACAACCAACTACAATTGAACACATGAACTTAGTCCAGGCTTAGCAAAGAGCTTAGGGTGTCATCACTAAATCATCAAGGGGCCTACAAATATCGCTTATATCCCACTTTGGGTAAAAGGAATGGATAAACTTCGACTCAAATGCTCGCTTGTATCTACTCATAAAATCACACACAATAATATGTTTTATAACACCAAGTTACTGGTGCGTTTACATAATATTAGTGTGCAACCAACTTGTAAATTGGAACTCTATGTCTCCGTTTCAAGAATATAAGATATTATCGTCTCACAATCACCCGTGATAAAATCCATGAAGTGATTCATGTGAGTGTAGGTTTAATCCAATACTCAAACCCCTATTTCAGGAGTACTCATGAGTACTGTAGAAGACCTTTCCTATGCCTAAACACTTAGACAATCTATAGTCGGATTCATGACAGTCTTACCTCATTACCTACTTCCAATGTATGATTGACTGTGGATGTTTGAATAATCTGGTTATTCGGGAAGTCAAAACATGCAAAGTGAAACACAAGAATAACCGAATCCAATATGGTTTCAACACTTTGAATATAAATAAAACTCCTTTTATTGAATCACCACATCGATTACACATTATATGCATTCTTTTTACAAGTGATTCTTTCCATGACAATAATTACATTCATATCCATAGTCTCCCACCAGCTTGCCATCTTTCTTTACTTCTTCCTCCTGAGAGTTATTTACACTTTCACCCTTCGTCTTCTTGGAGCTGTAACTTCCTTGCCACTTTCTGTTTTTGTTGCATCTGAAGTTCTTATTGTAAAACTTCCTATGGTTTGACACCATCAATGTGTAATCCTCCTTTAAGAGTTCACAATCGGAGAGATCAGTCTCTGAACCTTCTTCCTCTATAACTTGATTGCTTTTTTCAACAAGAGCCAATGAACCCATGCTAGAAACCAACTTTCATTCTTTTGTCACTTGACCCTCGTGTGACCTAAGGATTCCCACTAACTTTGCCAAGGAGTAGTTTTTGAACTGTTCATATGCTTAACCTGTTGACACCACAACTTTCCATTCGGGCTTCAAACCGTTCATGAAAGTGACTTTTTATTCTATCAACTCACCACTAATTTTGTGATTCATCATCCTACTTAAAAGATGATTGTATCACTTGAACGGTTGATCGAGATTCTCTTATGACATCTGAAAAAGGCCCCAAACTCCGAAAGCAGAAGTGCTTCAATTGAGTGGTCAAGATTTGCATCACTTCAGTAGATTTCTTTGAGCCTGTCCCAAATTGCTTTCGCTGTATCACAGGAACTAACCAAATGAAACATGTCTACAGGCAAAGCAAAGCTAATTATCCTCATCGCCTTGATGTTACTGACAAGCTTGTCTTTCTCGTCGTGTGGAATTTCTTTAACTTAAGGAAGAATATTGTTATAATCAGCTTGCATTTTGATTTCCCTCCTTGTTCCAGTATGAGTGGATGTTTGCACAGTCATGGCTTCCCATATGAGAGAGCGATTATCGTCCAAACCTAGGACATAATCCTCAAAGTGTAGCACCCATACCTCATAGTATTGAGGATATAATATCAGGTATCCTAGTTGTGGAACCAATGCTGCTGGATAGGTTGAAGGGTAGAGAATGAGGATCTTTTGAGTTCATGAAGTTGATACAATAAACCTGTAAAAACTGTAATACTAAAGTTTAGTTTAGGGTAAAATAAAGATCAAGATTCAGCATCTGTAAATGATGAACACGATGAAGACAGCTAAAACTAGATCCTATTAAAATGGAAACCCTAATAGCTCTTTAACATAAGAGATGAGTATAGATTACAAAGTCTCCTGATCTGATTCCAATTGTTAAAATAAATAAAAGAGTTGATCGATAGATTTAATAATAGGAATAAGAATGAAACACAAGAATGAAGATCAAAGTAGTGCTGAATGATTATAATCTACGCTTTAACATAGATTGATAAGGAACCAATATTGTAAAAGCACGTTTAGGGTTACAAAAGTATCGATTCTAGACACGGTGTATGCTTGCACAATAAATAGCTAAACCCTAGCACATTAGTAACCTGGTTAGACATTCACAACCCATTACATCAAAATGGACAATATAAAATAAATACAATTGATGTAATCCACTAGGCCTAACACAAGCCCACTTCGGAATTCCCTCTTCAATTTCGAAATTTCCTCCTTTAGCTTTGGATTTGTGTGCCTTCGGATCTTCTGAGATTTGGATCCTGCCTTGTTTTGGAATTTACTATTTCAGAACTTGTTGTTTCGGAACATATTGTTTCGAAACTCTGTCAGCTTCGAACCTGACCACTTCGGAACCACCTGGCTTCGAAATTTCTATCAGGTTCGTACCCTTCTCATTTTGGCTTTTATACTAATTTCGGAACTATTATAGTCTGGATTTTTCTAGCCTCAGAATTTGAACAAGCCTTAGAAAATTTTCATCTTAGAACATTTTCACCTCAAAATTCTACCATTTTGGGTGTCTTCCATCATCATTACACAAAAATACTATTTACTACTCTACTACTTACGGTATGGGGAATCTGGTTTGAAAGACTTCATGGGTTGTTAGATTATAGAACATCTTAATTGCCAAAATGATCATGCCCTCGGTGTTTGTTGGGTATATGGTGTTGCGTCTTGGGCTCGTCTCTTATCCCTATTTTGTATCCGGTATGGGCCTGTCCATCCGTGATTTGTTTTTTAGGGTTTGTGTATTAATAGATGCTTGCATGCATCTTTTTATGAACTCAGGAATATAGATTTTACGTCTTGTTAAGAAGATATCTTTTGTAACCCTAGAATCCTCCACAGCGGAAGTTCTTAATCGAGCTCTGCTGAGGATTGAGTAATCTAATCATTCGACTCATTCAGATCCATACTTGTGTTTTATCTCATTGTTTTTACGTTCATCATTTACCTGTTACAAAGATCTAATCGATCAAAGAGTTTTTAAATCTCATCAGTGTTTCATGTCTAGACCTCGTTTGTACGTGGTAGTACGTGTACTAAGTAATATTTATCATACAAAATACACATGAAATATCATTGTTTTGTGTAAACACTTTACAAGTTTGAGAAATATTTCTTGAAATGCTTACATGTTAAGTAAACAAAATAGTTTTAAACATCAATGTTTACATATGTTATGTTGTTAAGATAATGCAACTAATAAAAATAACATATATATTTAGACTACAAATGTGCTATGACTGTATAGATGGTTATCAACTTGGTAGTTTCAATATACCTCATAGATACACAAAAATATGTAAGTATGTATATATATATATATATATATATATATATATATATATATATATATATATATATATGATTTATAGAACTCGTATCTTAGTCTAGTTTATACGCTTGTACTAAAAGTTTTATCAACTGTTTAAACAAGTATCATACGTTTTTACGCATACCCTTATCATATATACTTGTCATCTATCCATTTATCAGTATCTGCGTTCGTTAAATACAACATTGGCACATGACTCTATCCGTCTATCCATACCATTTCTATAAACTTAACAAGATGTTTATTACCTACAAAACTATGGTTTATATGTCTATCTGTACCATTCCGTTATTATAAACTTCACTAGATGTTTATTACCTGGAAACTATAGTTTATATGTTTATCCCTACCGTTTCGTTACTAGAAACCATAATTTATATGTCTATCTGTACTGTTTCGATACTATAAACTTGACTAGATGTTTATTACCTAGAAACCATAATTTATATGTCTATATATACAAATTCAACACTATAAATTGCACTAGATTTTATTACCTACCAGCCATGGTTTATATTTCTATCTTTATCAAATATTCTTCCGAACACAGCTTTGTCACAAAGGAAATACTTTTTTGACTTTTTAAAAGTATTATACTGCGGTTAAGTACAAAACCTGTGGCACTCACCAACCTTTTTGATGACCCTCAAACTTACATGTATTCTCAGGAGATCATTAGACAAGCTTTCAGACATAACATTAGTCGTGGATTAAAGACGACTTAGCTATCTAGTTTTTGGTTATCTGCCTACTTGTTTAAGGCAACTACTATCTGTTATCTGTAAGAACCATGTATTCAAAATTAATGATGAAATATAAATGATGTTTTGTTTGTCGTTGTAGTTTTTCTATATATATTCAGTTTATCTATGATCCTTTAACTTAGTCACACTCCAAGTGTGTTCCACCTTGGCCGGGGGTATGACATTTCGACTCAAAGATGCACAACTCAAGATCCATTTTTTTGTTAATGTTAAGAATAAATCCAAATCCAATCCTAAAGTATCTATTGTTAAAGAAGTATCTAAGGAAGTTGTTAAAGACACGAAGAAGGAAAAGTCGAAGCCTAAGGGTGTTGTTATTAAAGATATTAATGAGGAAGTACAAAAGAAGAAGCGAAAGGCTATGGGTTTACTGAAAAGGTTTTCGAATATTAGAGCTCAAACTAACGAATATCAATATGTTCCAGCAAAGCTTAAGAAGAAGATTCTTGATCAAGAAGAAGTCCTAGTCGAGACAGATGATGAAGAGACTGATACTGAGGGTCCTACCTCAACTCCTATTTCAATAAATAAATGCAAAGGTAATGTTGATGATGTGGATCAGATGATCCAAAATAAATATATTTCACCATGAAAGGATGCCTCTAGTAAATCAAATATCGAGGAGACAGGCAACCCAAATGCCACTGTATTCATATATGATGAGGATACAAACATCCTAAATCCTGAAATAATTTCGACTTCGGATTCTAGGTCGACAAGTGTTATTCCACCCAAAGGTCCTACTACCAATTCCAATATGGAAGAGGATATGTCTTCAAACATCAGTGATAACTTATTTAATAAGGACTCAAATGTTAACATGGGTGAGAATCCCTCGACTTATGCTCAATATTCTTCGAATGTTCTACCACCACCTTCGTCACCACCACAAACATCGACAATTTCGCCTATGACAATTCCTATTAATTATCCTACCTTTGAAGGCATCTTGGAAAAACCCATTTCTACATTATTCTCTTCTCAATCTACTAATCAAGATTTGAGAAATAATAAGGAAGATGAAAGGATTTGGTTTGTTCAACTTGAATTTGATCCTGAGGAAGAAGAAATTAAAGATCAGGCCATTATGTACAGGAATCCATACAGGATTCTAAACTCAAAGCTTAATATGATTCTATAGTTCCTAAATGATTAATCTACTTTCATAACTTCTTATATGAATAAACAAGATGTTGAGTTTCTTTTGAAATCTCAAGAACCGAAGACAAACACTCTCATCGACAATGCAGTTACATAGTTGGAGACTTCTCTTACATACAACGTGACTTCTTACAAGTTTGATATTACACACATGAGCTATTTGAGATGTTTTTGACCACTTTTAAGTATTGTATTGCTTTAAAAATCCAATGCTTGTGTGATTTGGTTAAAAAGGAAGTCAAGAAGCTAGATAAAATTTGCCTTGGAATTCAGAAAAATGTTGATATTCTTCTTGGTGCTACAACAACATTGATCGAATACATTCATGCTTTCAATAAGGATTATGCCAATGGGTTGAAGTTAAAGAAAGATTCTGATGGGAACACATTCATAGGCATTGAGAATTCTCTCACTGCTTTTCATGAATACTTATCAAATTTTGATATTCAATCAATAACTTCAATTTTTTAAGCATAATTATCTACTATTATGTCTTCCATAGAGTCTTGCTTCAAAACACGGCTTGCTCCATTCTTAGATTTAGTTATTTAATTGCTAACAAATGCTCCGTGGCTATCGATGCTTGTGTCACAAGGGGAGATAAGGGTGGTTCATTGAAGGTTGGATGCGAAGACAAGGGAAAGGTAGTTGGAAAGGTCTACACAACGCAAATACCAAGTCTAATTCCTTTAAAACTTATTCAAACAATATCTAGAATAAAAAAAACTCTCTCTGTTGAAGTTGATGTTTCAAAGCTTTAATATAGGAAGGGTTTGAATATATATGAAGGTTCATGTTCTTTGTTTGTCCAATCTGTTTCAAACTTAGAAATGAAGGGAAAATAAAAAGGCATTCATGTTGAGCCTATTGTAGAAGAGATTGCAAGAAATTGAGTTGGAGAAGATGAATCCACTCAACAACATAATAGAAAAAGAGCAAATGACTCACTTGGTCTTGAGAAGGGGGATACAAATAAAGTTGGTGTTATGGAACCATCAAAACAATAACTTCTGGTGAATTTGATGCTTTTGAAAAATAGGAAAAGAGAATATATGCCATTGAGGATTCAATTTTCTATCAATTGGACATCCCATTCAAGCTTGTAGGGAGTTATCAAGATATTGAGGATTATCAAAGTATGAAGATAAGATTTCATGTTGTACTTGCAAAGAAAGAAGAATAAATTTGGTCATTGGTAAAAATTAATAAACTCTTATCAATAACTCATGATGTCATATTCAAAGGGGTTATTCAAAACTACCAATAAAAAGTTTTTTGGGTTACAAGTCACTCTGTGAGTTCACTGTCGCCGACTTTCCATTGAGGAACATGAATGACCTTATTACACTATCAAATATTATGAGGGATATTGGTAATAATCGGGTTCAAGATAGAATGACTCATTCCGTATACTTACCTTCAAAAATCTTTTAAGACTATTATTTTGCTCATCTGGAGCTAAAATACTTTGAATTTCTCACGCCTTCAAGAAGAAACCAAAAGTTCCAGATTCGTCTTTAAAAGTAGATTTGAATATCGAAGACTATGAAGACTGAGAAATTATTATGAAACCCAATGGTATGGTTATTCGGGGAAAGAACCTGAAAGGAGGAGAAAAAAAAAGATTTCTTCTACACGACCATCAAAGAAATGTATTTAAATCAGAATCTTTACACCATCCTTCTCCGAATCAATAAATGTAAGAAGAACTCATATGAAGATTCATTAGGGATTTGGAAAATTATTTGTTGGTATATGTAGATTCAAAGAGTACTGATGATAATGATAAAGAAACTACCTGTAGTTTAAAGATTCGATATTGATCACAAAGAGGGAGATTGTAGAGTCGAAGATGTTATGATATATCGAAGTCTTAAGTAGTTATTGAAGATATGCATAGTTGTCCATATCAAAGTTTTCATAACTTTGATATTTGTATGTACTTTATCAGGAACATATGTTGTAATACTTTGAGTGTCAAAGTCTTAATATATTTTTTGTATATGTTGAGTACACTATAAATAGTATTGCTTCTTAAGCCATTTATAACTTTAAACTTTTAGCTTTCATTCTCTCTCGAATGTACTTTGGCATCCTCCAGATAAGATGAGCTAAAAAAATATTTTATTTACATCATCATGTTAATATAAACTCGGATTACAAATTTGATTCATTTCTTAAGACTTCAAAAATCATCCCAAAAGAGAACTTGATCAGACCTGGATCAGGCATGACAGGGATAGATGAGAATCAATTATGTATATGTCAGCATGCTCTTGATGTATTAAGTAAAGTCTACGATGCGATGACGGGGTGTCATGTTAACCTAGGTCACAACCATCTGACCCCTCGTGATACGACTATTCAACTATAGTGACGCGAAATAATTTATCTTCCTATTTTCTATTTTGAGGCTCCTTTGTGATTGGGCTCTTATAGGTTCTTTGGTGCTTAATTGCTTCCAAGAGAGTACATTCCTCTATTCATTGCATCCTAAAACTTAAACTTGAGGTGAGTCAATCCTTGCGGAAAAATGTAACGTCCCAAAATATCGAGAAAAATTTTCATTTTTTAAAAAAATAAAGCAGTTCCACATTATTCAAACAAAACACAGTCAAAATAGGAGTTCCATGTTCCAATCAAAATCAAAGTAAAATCATAAACCAACGGTGTGGAATCTTCGGTGGATGCGATGCAATTAGGCTGAGTTCTTCCCATTGTTACCAGAAGTACCTAAAACATTTAAACTTTACAATGTAAGCTCAAATCTTAGTGAGTTACCCAAGATACCACATACATATAGCAGGCTTCGCCCTATAGATAAACATAGGGGCCTTACCCAACTAACATATGAATGGGCCTCATCCAAAAGTTTGCACCCTACGGGCCTCTCCCTATAAACATATAAACATACATGTAAGATTCACGAAGGCAACAATTAATCTGATAATACCTAGTCTCCTACATTATAGTGAGAATGCTCACCTTAATCAAAAGTTGGATATCACACTCTAAGTCAGGTAGAACCAAATACATGAACCAACTATAACAATTAGAAGTCATACCTTAGTCTACCATCTAAAACCTATAAGTTTGTATAAAAGTCAAACTTGATCAAAATTCAGTGATCAACGGTCAACCCTACCCACCACCATGTTGAGACCAGGACATGGATGTGTCGTGATGTCTAAAAGATAAAACAGACACAAGACCTTTCATCCACCATACCGTGGTCAGACCATGACCACATCACAATTCATACGGAAGCTTATCATCCTTATTAAGCTCTTAATCTATTATGGCCAATACCTGAAATATTTCAAATGTGTTTAACAGTCTCTCAAGGTCTTTACAAATTAAAGTTTTAAAACATGCATAACCCATGCTAGGCTTACACCAGTTTAGGTTAAAAATGGCATAAAATGGTTCTAACTTCATACATGGAATCACTTGTAATGTAAAGACCAATTCTATTGTCAAAAAATACTTCTAGGACCTTGGAAAGAAATAAAACCTTAGCCTTAATGTTCCTTAAATATGGATCAAGGCCCGAGATCTAGGGTTTGAGCTGAGCCATCACCGTACCATGGTGGGGACCTGCCCATGCCGCCACTTAAATGATTCAGCCGCATCGCGCCGCATCTCTACTATCGCGTTGTGGTTCATCATGATTTCCAAATGTTAAAATAAAAATTTATTAAAATTCCAAAAGATTAATACCTGAAAATAGATGTTACACAAAATCTATTACATTATGGGAATTTTCGTATCTTAAGAATGAATCGATTGATCCATGTTAGATATGTTGTGTTATGTGTCCCTTTTTATATATGCTATATGTGCTATAAGTGTTGATACTTTACCATGGAAACATTATATAGGGTGTAGTGAATTCTAGATAATTTATGTGATGTCTTGGTATGAGTTATGTTAGTAGGTTCTAAAAGATCTTGTATAACCAATATTCATTATAGAATGATATTGCTAATAACATATGATCCTATAGGATCACACCTTATAACAAGTTACCAATAATTGATTATGTATTAATATAATTTAATTAATAATAAATATATCAACACTTGTATTTAATTGGAAAAATATTTTTTTGTGAAAAAAATATTTCACCAACATATTAAGAATTATTTTTTCTAGGAAATATTGATAAAAGAAAAAAAAAACCAGCTTAATATCATATAATATGATTATTAATGTTGTGGATAACTTTTTGGTCACTTAGATTAACCAATTGATTACATTTATAACTAGTTAGTTTGTATAAAGTAATTCCCACTTTAATCTTGTTTGTTTCACCATGATGGACAAAATTTCAAGGGGATTAGTCTAGGATTGCTTTTTTCAATTATTTAATACATACGCCATACATGTAAGAAGATGTATTACTCTTGCTTTATGGTCTTACCTTTTCCTTTCATGTGATCCAAGATAAAAATAAGACTAAAAAAACAAGTGAATGGCTAATGTGCTTGCACTTGTATCCTTCTTCCTTTCTTGCAAATGATGTTAGATATTAAGACTAATAAGTTAATTTCGATTAAGACTTATTTGGATATGTCTTAATCGCTTAAAAGTGTAATGCCTGTAGAATCAGGTTAGATTTTTAAGATATAATAAATAATCCTAGCTAAAGATGAATAGTTGTAATAACGATGTTGTGGATATAAGTAGTGCTTAAATCCAACATCATATGAAGAAGTTATGCTTTGTCGATATTTTTGTGTTCATCCCTACATAGAAAACTATCGCAAAATATAAATTCGAGATAGATGGCTTATTATCCTAAGTAATGTAAACAAAATTCGTAGTGATTGTAAGACCGAGAGTGTAACACCTATTCCTGGTATTCATTAATTTATATGATTTTTTTGGTTTTGTGCATAGAATCGGCGAGTTAGGATGCTCCAACTCGCCGAGTAGAGACTATTTTGAAAACTCGAATTCGGGATCTATTCAATGAGT